GTCGGCCCCGGCCGTTTCCCTAGGTCGGTCACAGTCGGTTTGCCAGGTCTGTCACAGTCGGTTCCCTAGCTCTGTCGCGGGCGGTTCGCTAGCCGCCGGCGTGAATGCACAGATGGCGCCTGTCCCTGCCGCGAAACTGCTCATACAGGGAAGGCCTCTTTGTCCGAGCCAACCTGTGTCTGTTTGGGAAGGGCACGTTAGTGAGGTGGCCCTCGAACGTTCTGAAGTGCGGGTTCAGTCTCCGCCTTCATGGACTTCGCCCCCCCATACACCACCTGGTTCCCAGCTCCCGGACCAGCGTCACTGCCCCTAACCCCATGCCAGTGAGCGTGTCTGGTCCTAGGGCTCAGTTCAAAGTGCCTCCACCTGCCTGCCACCACCCCACAGAAAACACGAGTGCAGACGTGCCTAGGCCAGAGGACACACTCGAGAGGGGACCCTGCTTTCAGCTCAGGGGACCCGAGGGTTATTCAGGAGCAGGCCGCTGAGGGCTAGGGGCCACCTGGCTCCTCCACCTACCCTCCTGGTAGGTAGTGCCCGCAGCCTGCCCCCTCTGCTTGCCCCGCTCCAGGACAGAGATATGGACGCCTTTGTTTCTTTTTTTCTTCCCTTCTTTCTTTCAAGAGAGATTTTTTGCTATAGGGCGCATGTGCTTGCCAGAGAGACAGAGAGTGAGAAATCACCCCCCAGAGGAGAGGGCCACACCACAATCCCTTCTCCATTCTCCTCTCAGGATTTTGGGTGCCCATGCACATGCACCCAGCATGAGTTTTAAGCCACCGGGTCCAGGACTTGAATCCTAGCGACTACATGGGAGTCCATGACATAACCATTATGCCGTCTGCTGGGACTGATGTGAAGCAGAAATGTATGCCATGACTGTCAGGGTGACTCTGACCTTTATAAACCGATGACCATGAAGCAAGGAATTACCACAACCTGCGGGTACAGGCGCACAGAAATCACTCTGACGTGTGACTCTAAATGTCATGGGTCACCAGTCAAAGTGGACCCCAAACCACCACCTCAACGACTGGGTCGGGGGACACCCGATGTGGGAACGTGAGCTCGGTGTGGCCCTGGCACGGGGCCCAGTGTGGGGTGTGCCAGGCAGTGCAGTGTGGCAGAGGCACGGCAGCACGGGATGCCCTGGGCAGGGTCTCAGGGCTCAGGGCCATAGGCCAGGACTCGGACCGGCCAGCCCCAGGCTGAGCATGCATCCGCCGGCTG